TATTTTACTGCCAAATTTTGTGTCAATCAAAGCAGTATTTGTTGATCATTTTGCATTTTACATCTTCGTGCTTAACTTTTGGAAGACAGTGTATATAAAAATATATATGCCGTATCGTGGAGAAATGAATAATCTTTCTGATACTGTAATTATTTGTTGTCTGATTTTGATAGAAAAATTAGATTACAATTTTAAAAACATCGAAAATATCTGAAAATTCTCCCCTCTTCTTTCTGTTTTTCTTCTTGCCACGCATTAGCAGAATAAACAGCATACATGGGTGAAACAATTATGCGCTTAAAGGTTTTTAATCAATATTTTTTAGCTAATTGTAACATTGGACCGAATTTTTAATCTAAATCATTCTCGAATCCACTTGAACCGACACAAAAAAATTTCGTCAAAATCGGCCTAGTCGTTTAGAAGGAGTTTTTAGTCACATACACACACACAGAGAAGATTTTTATATATAAAGATTATGTGATGTAGAAATTTAGGTACTGATATACTTCAGTTATCTTCCTTTGAATATTGTTAAAAATTCATAACTTGCATCTATTTTGAATTTATTCAATGAAATACATCAAATTAAAAAAAAATTATGATAATCAATATTTGGGTATTCAAGCATTATACCAATTTCGTCAAAACAAAAGACGTTGCCAAATACCTCGATAACTCGCAAGACAACCCGCACGATGGTACGGATTAGACATTCTTATACATTTTTGCATCTGGAATAGTTGTATGTAAAAAAATCCCGAATTCAACGATTGAGCGTGTTTGCAGGTGTTAAGTATCATTTTTTATCAACAGACGGTGATTGTAGTCCATGTTTTACTTTCAGCTAGCAAATCTAGCTTCGTTTTCAAATACAACGAAAACACGTCTTTTTTAACTGTCGTAAAAAAGTAATAATCAATATATTTCTAATTGCTTCGATACAATTTTTTGTATTAATGTTTAAATAATTGTAAAATAGAAAAAATATTACTAATACTCTATTAATGTGGCTTGTAGGGCTCGCGGGATTTCGTTACCCGCACGATCTTTCGGGTTGGGCGTTACTTGAGTCACTGCAGCTGTAAAGGTAATTATTTGCAATGAAAAATTTCCGTTTCTGTTTCAATAATTTTGATGAAAGCCTACATAAAAATGAAATATATAGTTATATAATTAATGCCAAATTTTTTGGGGGGTTGCCATGGATGAGTCCCTTTTTTTCTTTCCCTCTCTCTCTCTTTCACAATTATTTTTCTTTTCCATACATTCGTTGTGGAGTATGGCATATTTATCCTCTCCACAGATATCTGCATCCATAACTCTTCCCCCCTCCCCCCCAAAATCTGGGTCTTCTGGTGGTAGTTAGTATGATGTGGTTTAAATATATATATATATATATTTAAATAATAAAATTTTCTGATGTATTTTACTATTTTTCATGGAATACTCTGTTAACTTTTAAGCAAAAACTTTTTCAGGTGTATAAAAGGAGAGGAATTCTCACAGAAGAAATTTTTCAATTGATGAATAAATCGGATTGAATCAGAACTTAGTGATCTCTCGGATGATGACAATGCTGCGAACAAAACATATGAATCTCGTATACCGAAAGGAGAATCAAGTTCAGATGAGAGCGATGAAGAAACACATGGGAATATTTGAAATGAAAAGACAATTTTGGATCATTCTTTACCATAAAAGTCTCTTGAACGCATTCATTACATTGATTTAGCTGTTGCAAATTCTTGGTTTCTGTGTGCAAACAAGATGCAATATCAAATAAAATTCCTCTAAAAAAAAAAAAAAAAAAATATGAATTGTTAAAAAATTAATTAAAGAGATAGTTGAAGCGTTATCAGCCTCTCCACCTACTAACAAAAGTATTTTAACTCATGATGAAAATAACAGTGTTGTAATTCCACTGGCAAAAGGATCGAAGCGTTATAATCCACCTGCTATACATGCCATGGCTTTTATCCTAACCATTCCAGGATAAAAGGCTTGACATGTATTGCCGTTGATGATGACATTTCAAGGCCTCGCAAGTGCAGATTTGAAAACTACGAAAACAGTTCGAAAACATGCTGTGAAAAATGCAATGGTTATTTATAGTTGTCAAAAACAAAACAAAAGATTTTTACAGTAAATAAACAATGAAATAATAAAAGAGTTAATTTTCATCAATAAGTTCCTTATTTGTAACAATTTTAGTTGAATTAAGATTGTTTCTTCTATCAACTTAGAGCTAAATATGTATAACTTGTAAAATTTCATAGGTGTCCTGTTTCACAGATAACGCCCAACCCGCACGAACGTGCGGGTACCGTCTACATTCCAGGGGGAGAGCGGGAATTTTTTTAATTATTTTTCTCAATGTCATTGGGGTCCATATAGTATTAATAACCAGAAGAATTGAATATTTGAAGATAAAAATGATTCGGGTCTTAAAGGGATATACAGCCAGTAGTGCAAACCGTTTTTCCTCCCGTACGAATTCCGTAATAACAGTGATGACAGCATTTGGCTGCAATTTCTGAATTAGAGATGCCTTTTTGTTTGACGAAATTGGTCGAAGGTATAATACGTAAGTATTAATATTTGTTATTTCTCAATTAATATTTCAAATAAAGCAGAACTTTTTTAAATGAAAGAAAATTGTAGAGGTAGTGAATTTATTAATGCAATGTTTCTGTCTATTTATAAAATTACATATGTAAAATATACATATTAAAAATACGAAATTATGTAACAATGTAAATAACGGATACATTTAACAATAAATTTATCAAGATCACGCGCACGGGGCAGCAGTTAACTTTAAAACTTGTGGTATAATTAATCGTTTATGTAGCATCATCATTTGAAGATTTTGGAAAGAAAAAAACCTAATCCCAGGAGCAACATTTATCATCTTCCTAATACTCCATAGCATTACTAGTCATTATTAATGATTGATGCTCCTAATCCCCTGAAGAAAAGAAGCTTTTTCTTTGTCATATTGCAAGGAAATTCTTTAATATTTTTTTTTTTTTTTTGCTTGTAAATAAAATCCCAAAAGAAATTTTTTTAAAAGCCTCGTTTTCTTTCGTTTAGTGATTTGACAACTTATGATTGCGTTTTTAGATAACAAAAATGAATCTTCTCTGAACAAGGGGGTCGATTTCGTTTAGTTTTTAAGGAATTGATGGAGAGTTTATTTTTTTAAAAGAATTTTCTTAAAGGGCTTCTAAAAATGAAATGATATGTATTTAGAATTTTTGAAGGTATTAATCAGGCTGGTATTTGTGTATCTCCTAAATGAATGCTTACAAATATTTTTGTGTTACAGATTTGTCGCACTTATAAATAAATTTAAAAAAAAAGTGTAGTAAAAAGAATATCTGTTTTTTCTTTGTTGGAAATAAAATTCTTTTAAATTTATTTAAAAGTGTGAATCAGTGTAACGTACAGATTATCATATATTTTATAACATCCCCTATTTAATATACACAGTGATTTGCTACCAGACCGACAAACTTTCAGGGTGTGAAGAGGGTAGAGAGACGACTTGAAATCATGCAGGAATGCAGGGTCAAAATGCCGCAGTTGCGAGCTATGATGCAAAGAAGATAAAAAGAACAGAAACAACAGCACATTAATGGGACAGAAAATATTTTATTGAAAGGTTAAACAACAACAGGTGATCGAAATTAGGACTGGAAGTCATCTGGCAGGCCTGACAGTGGCCCTTCATGGAATTCCTTACATTTTGAAAGATTCCTGGCGTGTCACGCATCCTCTCGGCAGCTACAGATATTTGAGCGATGAGGTCTTCAATTGTGAAGGAATGGGCATCTCGTGCACCCCAAACACTTTATATGATCCCAGAAGAAGTTCATGTACTTTCGAACCCCTGTTGCAGTACAGCCTTTCAATAAAAAGTTTTCTGTCCCATTAATGTGTTGTTGTTCCTGTTCTTTTTCTCTGCTTCTTTGCAAGACAGTTCGCAACTACGACATGTGCGACTTTGCATTCCTATGTGATTCCGAGAGTAACGTCTTCGTCGCGCAGCTGTGATCGACGTCTTTGTGGAAATAATAACCACTCGTGAAAAGACCACTGTGCAACTTTGAATTATTGATTAGTACCAGCTTGGATCGCCATCACGAGGGACCCTTTCCCCGCTTCTGGCAGGATGTAACGAGATGCTAAAAAGCGTCGCTCCCTGATCCCCGAGCAGAGAGAGGTAGAGCCAAGGGAGAGATGCCTTGAACTTCCAAGTGAGCAGTCGCCAAAAGGGATCTCTCCTCTCACAAACCACTGTTTTGAACTCTAATAATCTCTTAATAAGTTTAATAACTTTAATGTATAATTTTGTAAATAATAGCAGGGACGTAAATAAACTAAATATTTAAATTAATCAATATCACGCTACCGTTATTTATCTCAAACGCCACACGAGTCTTCTGTGTACCTCCTATACACTCTGCAAGTTTTTCGGTTTGGTAGCGAACCACCATATATATATTTAAAGTAATGTTTTGCAGATTTTGATTTAAGTCTTTTTGTATAAAACGTTCCTAAAAATTCAAAATGGTGCTTTTAAAACATAAGTGTATTTGATAACAGAAAAAAATATACGAATGTTACAAAGTTATCGCAGTATTTGACCTATTAATTGATTATTAAATAGCTTGAAAGCAAAAAAACTAAATTTAATTCTCAAAAATTTTAAAAATAAAGAGTTTTTTCATCAGGTTATTCCCTTTTTGTTCAATTCGTAGTTTACTCTATCTGTTTACATATATATCTTGTTCGAATTTCAATCGTTAATAAAATATTTTCTATTCATCTATTCAAGTTCAAACACATTTTTCTAAATTTGTAGTGGATAGCACTTGATGTTAATACAGTTTTTTCAAATATTAATTCATTAGTTAAATTTAAAAAATTCATAAATAGTAACAAACAAAAATAATAGTCCAACGTCCTATATAAAAAGGAAAATCGTTCGTTGTGTTCCTGTAGCACAATGAATAGCCCGTTGAACTTCTAATCCAAAGGTCGTGGATTCAAATCCTACCTGGGATGGCCCAATTTCTGAGAATGGGATTTATGAATGAATAAACTGTATCGAGCAAAAATAATAGTCCAACACCCTATATAGAAAGGAAAATCACTTTCTCTTTTGTTGCTTAATTGTGTGATTCTGTCATATGTATAGACAAATTTATATTAATTGTAACTATTTATTAAAAAAGTAACTCTCTAAAATAAAAATTTTCTTTGTTGACCTAAGTAGGAATCGACTTAAATTTTTTTTTTATATTACTTGTTGTTATACATATTATACACTGATTGCATATACCTGCTAATTATTTAAAATTTGAGCAAATAATATTGATTTTAAATATTTGTAACTCACTTTTATTGAAGAAAACATTAGAGAAATGAATTTATTATTAATGAAACAGAAGAGAAATTATCTAAGTAGAATTGGGTTTTGAAAGGTATTCTTCATTAGAATCTTTTCTGTCTTCTCTGTTATAAAATTATCATAATCTTTTGCGTGTTTCCATGCTAATTATCTGATTGCTACACCAATCCACTGAAAATAAGTCAGTTTGACTATGACTATTAATGAAATTCCGTTGCAGTAACCGTTTCACTCACTCACATACGCGAACACAAGCAGAATGATTCAAAAAAATTCTAAAATTCTAAGAATCAATATTTATTTTTTAATACTCATTTTAATTCTAGTTAGTTACAGTTAAGCTCGGATAACGTTACACGAGGAATTTTCAAATAAATCGCAAAATGACTTAACTAATAGTATGAAGCTTTTTTGACAAGTAAAGTTCTAATATATGAAGGAGGAAAGGAAAATTGTAGCAAGTGCATTGGCAGTATTATCTTTAACCTTGAACCTTTCGAGTAGAAAATCCTTTTAATGTCTATCCCAGTCCCCCCTCCGCTAGAATTCCATCATAAAAGAAACTGGCGCTCTATATATTCTATATTCAATAAAATGGTGTCGTGAGATTACTCTGGAGGTAGGACTGATGTTAATGACGAACACATAACAAGTAAGCTCTTTTGTGATCTCATAAATCCTTCTTCTCTACTTCCTGGACTTTGCACCCTTCGACTTGCATTTATTTCTTTTTTTGCATTTTTTAAAAATTTGAAATGTAGCTTCAGCAAGAGATAATATAATTATGTGACTCTAGGACACAAAAGCTTCTAATCAGACTTAAATAAAGACTTAGAAAATGGTGCCAACCAGCGGCGAATACAAGAATTGGGGGTTCAATCATTCCCTCTATAGATCAACAAAGTTTTAATTTTTATCCAATAGATTATGCTTCAAATATTTTATTTACGTGTATCTTAAAATATAACTCTTCCCTTCCCAAAAATAATCTGTGCATGTCCCTGGTGGCAGCTGCGTAGGAAAATATAACATGCGCATACATAAAATAACATGTCTGTAAAATAATATTTTATCAGTTAAAATACTTTGAATGAATATGAGACATCTTTACTTTTCAAAAACGTTTAGTAATTAAAGCGCCCCCCCACACGTGTACGCGCACACACACTAATCAGTCATTGTGATAAAATCAATATCTTTATCAATCTTTCAAATTAATATCAAAAAGATCATAAACCGAGGAAGTGGTGGTCAACACACTTCCTATCTTAAATCTCTGTAACAAATTATTGGATTACTTATTTTTCAAATGTTCTGATGTAATAGCACTAGTTCGGGCTTGACCGGTATATTTTGATAACTGGAAAGATCCTCCTTCTGAACTGTGAAGGCTTCAGATATTGATTCTGATAATCTAACTTCAATAGCAGCCTAACGACTAACTCCTACCCTCACTCCACTAGAGCACTCAAATTTACATAATTACGGTATTCCTACGGGTAGCGATTTTATAAACTCACATCAGGAAAGAGTACGGTTTGTAATCCCATGTTATATTTTCAATCACAGGATTTTGGGATTATATTTTTCAAATTCCGAGATTCAGTGATTGGTTCTGGGATTCGGATTGGACTATTTATGAAAAATTACTTACACATTAGGGTAGTTGAAATTGCATAATAAAACTGAAAACATAATTAAAAAATTGGTTTATTATTATTATTTATTAAAACAAATCAAAACAAAACTTAATTCATCTTCAAAAACAAATAAAAGTAGTACATAAGGAAATTAAAAAAAAATGTCTTCTTCCCTTGTGTTTCTGTTAATAAGCTTTTAGAAAAGGAAGCTCGTCGAAAGTTTCATCGTTCAAATGGCTTCTTACTTAATTCCTACTATTAGCTCACTCTCTCCTTATATATATATATATATATATATATAGGCCAATTCTCTATAAACAAGAGATAACATTCAAACAATAACATTCGACAAACACATAGACAGCAGGAAAATCACACAATGAAGGACATATGAGTAATCGAGATTATAATTATAAAATGGATGCTGCAGTGTTATGAACATTACTGACTTAGGACAGCTATTATATAAAAATAATTTATATAAAAGTGGGGTTGAACATGTTTTTTGGCCAGCCAACCTTCCCCCTTTTTTTTGTAAATAACACTGAGCAAAAACCAATAGGATATATATATATATATATATATATATATGTATTTATAAATGTTGCTCTAATTTTCAATCGTTAATAAAATACTTTCTGTTCATCCAATCAAATTCAAATAAATTTTTTTAAACTTGTAGTGGAGGTACTTGATGTTAATACAGTATTTTCAAATATTAATTCATTAATTTAATTAAATTAATTACCGATTTTTGACGCCAACTTAAATTCATATTCATTGTTGTAACAATGTAACTGTTAAAACAATTAAAACGATGACAAAAGTTGGCGTCAAAAACCGGTTTTTCAGCCAAACTAGCCAAGCCGGGTGTGCCTTGTTACAACAATGCAGACAAATCATGCTCTTTTTCCACAATTCCTACTCTATTAGTTTACTCTCTCCAGATATATATATATATCTTGTTCAATTTTTCAATAGTTAATAAGATGCTTTCTATTCACATCCATTCGAAGTAAAAATTGACTTAAATTTTTTTTTATATTACTTGTTTTTATTACAAATTTTCCTTCCGAAGAAAATGTTCGTACTACAGATTCTACACTAGAAGGCTTTGCCGTCATTAAATAGGAGTAAGTTCTAAGGAGTAAGGATGATCACTCACACCAACGGGAGGACGTTTGAGCTCTCGACAGATTTAACGTGCCTGGCTCCCCTACAGGCGGGTCTTTAGTGGTACTGGGCTCGAACTCGTGACAAGTGTGAGTGAGAATAAACGTAGCACTGTTCAGCTACACGAGGGCTTTTGGCGATGGACCACGTAATTATGAACCATGCTTAAGTGACGTGGACGACACCTGAGCTGGCACCCCCTCTCCTAACTACTACACTACACCAACGGGAGGACGTTTGAGCTAGATTTAACATGCGTTGCTCCCCTACACGGCGGGACTTCAGTGGTACTGGGCTCGAACTCGTGACAAGGCCAACCACGATCCAATACCTTGACCACTGGGCTACCGCGGCCACAGCAGAAGCTACTAGTAAAGCAATGAGACTTGAAGGGTTAAATCTTTCAAGCAGTTCCGCTATTAATTTACGGCATTTAATTGAAGAAAAAACTGTGATAAAATCTATTCCCGAGACGTTGCTTATACCATTGTGTAAGTATTGCAGTAAACCACTTAGATCTGTGCGACGTTCTCCCATACGAGAAGTGAGAATTGCATACAACTTTTTTTCACTTATGGCATTGATAATTGTACAAAAATAAATTGTTCGTGCATTTTTCATAAAAAATTATTTGATAAATAAATTTTTAGAAAATTTTCTTGAGAAAAAAGAAATTAAACAAAAATTAAAGCCTGGTATTCGATTTAATCCTGGGATTTCGAAATTTGAAAAATCATTGGGATCCTGGGATCCCGGACCGGCAAACAGAGTTGTCAGAAACTTATGAGGCAAAGTAGCACGAAGAGGGAAAAAAGTAGCGAATCGATTTTCACTTACAATTCATAAATACAATTTTTTAAATTTTGTGAGACTGTTTTAAAAATACACATCAAAATGCTTTAGTTATTTAATTCATTTAAAATACATTCAAATTCTTCCTGATAAGTATCGAGATCTGCTGCATCTTTTTTATAAATTTCTGAATTATATTGAAGCATTTGTGGCGATGGAATGAAATCAACGCAGCAAATCCCTCATTCTTCCTAAGTCATTTTCCTAAGTTCTTCCTAAGTCGAACAGTTCAAGGCACATTTGATTCCTTAATTTTGTCTCTTGACGTCACTCTGGAGAATGCCGTTTCCACAGTGACATTACTCATGGGGAGGCTGTAAAGCTTTAAAACAAATATACTTAAATTCTTAAAAATGGATTTCCAACTGCGTCTTTTATATTAAAAATGTGACACCAAAATAATTTTCCATCATTTAAAAGCTCAGATTTAGATAGAAAAACATCTTTCACAACTGTATGTTAAAAATTTGTCTCTATTGATTCTCCAGAACACATAATTTAGATTGATCTGCCAATTCTAAGGGCAGATAAAAAAAAAAGGACAATTTGAATTTTAAAAAATAGCAGGGGAAAATTCTTTATCTTTTTTTTAAAGTTCAGTAAACTGAGGAAATTCGGTTTAAAAGTTGTTCACATAAATCTTGAGAAAATTATGACATCTTTGATATATTTCTTTAGTAGCTTCTGCAGAAATTATGAAAATTTTGCTGGTTAATTTATTCAAAAAGACATCCATAAAGTACTTCAATATGTAAATAAATGGTTGTTAAACTCATGCCAACCTCGAGATTCACATATTTAGGGTAAATTGTTCTTAAAAGAGTAAGGGTATAATCTTTTAATTCTTCCAGTAATTTGCAATGATCAACATAACTTTGAAAGGCAAATTAATCAGCTCAAATTCTGCTAAAATTGACAGCTGTAATTTAGCAATACTTAATTCTATCCTTGTAATAATTTAATTAACGGAATAGTAAGACAAGTAGTTG